CCCCCCCCAAATTTCACCCCAGTTGAGCTCCTGGCTGGCCTTGATGCAGCCCTTGAGCTGAGCACATACACCCCTCCTTCCACTCTCCCCACTGGATTATCCCTGACTCAGTCGAACTGAGGGCAAAATTGGAGTTGCATCAGCAGAGACAGGATACAGAGTGTGTGTGTGTGTGTGTCACGCATCCATCTCTGGAAATCTGATTTTAAGAAAAAATTAGATAGATGGTACGATGAGAGAGAGAGAGAGAGAGAGATGTGTCTCTCTCTGTGTGAGAGAGAGATAAGATAGATAATGATTGATATAGAAAGAGATAAGTGATTGATAGATAGATGACAGAATAATTGATAATGTTAGAGATGATAGATTGATATAATTAGAAGTAGAGATGATATGAGATAGATTGATGATAGACAGATAATTGATAAATGTTAGAGATAATGATAGATTGATAAATGATAGATATACATAATTAGAGAGATAGATATAGATATAAATGATTGATAGATTAGATAGATATAGATAGATATAGATAGAGACAGAGACACAGACAGATGATAGATATAGATGATTGATGAGAGATAGATAGATAGATAGATAGATAGATAGATAGATGACAGAATAATTGATAAATGTTAGAGATGATAGATTGATATAATTAGAAGTAGAGATGATATAGATGATATGAGATAGATTGATGATAGACAGATAATTGATAAATGTTAGAGATAATGATAGATTGATAAATGATAGATATACATAATTAGACAGACACAGAGAGATAGATATAGATATAAATGATTGATAGATTAGATAGATATAGTTATAGAGACAGAGACACAGACAGATATAGATAGATATAGATGATTGATGAGAGATGAGATAGATAGATAGATAGATAGATAGATAGATAGATAGATAGATAGATAGATAGATAGATAGATAGATAGATAGATAGATAGATAGATTAATGCATGGATGGATGGATGGTCAGAAAGACAGATGTGTGAGGAGGCCCTATGCAGCCATCCAGTGACCACAATTTATGACTATTTTTCCCCAAAACAAGGCACCCATCGTGGGGCCTTTGCTTAACAAGCGCAAATTTACTTAACCATTATGGCGATTTGCTTAATGACTGCCACATTTCCCATTATTTGAAGGATTCTCAGGATCACATGACTGAGATTTTTGGCATATTTTTGGCCAGAAACCAGATTTCAACTTCTGGTTTCTGGGGGGGAAAAAATCCCACCAGGTGTAATAGGTGCATTGATGGGTCATAAAATCAGGCATGGTCACATGGTGACCCACTTAACAACCGCCACGACTTACGACCATAATCCCAAGACCATTTATTTATGTATTTATTTATTTATTTATTTATTTATGAGACTTATATACCGCTTTAAGTGCAAGCACTCTCTAAGCGGTGTACACCAGTAAGCAATGTATATATATATATATATTACATTGCCCCCAACAATCTGGGTCCTCATTTTACCTACCCCGGAAGGATGGAAGGCTGAGTCAACCTTGAGCCGGTGAGATTTGAACCGCTAACCTGCTGAACACAGTCAGCTAAAGTGGCCTGCAGTACTGCACTCTAACTGCTGCGCCACCACTTATGGCCGTAAGCCAAGTATTTTCTGTACTATGCACAACAAAACACTTTTTTAAGCTTCAGTTCCTTGAACCTGTAGTTCGAAACTCAAGACTGCAGCATCCTGGCCATGTGCAGAGTGCCACGCCAACACAGCTGACTCTCGCTCGCTCGCTTACTATATCATCTGTATCATCTATCTCTCAATCAGCCTCCCTTCCCCTCACACACACACACACACACACACACACACACACACACACAAAGAAACAAACACAGAACTTCCCAGAATTATCACATAGCGTTTTTTGCAAAGCAAAATACCAGGAAAAGTTATTTCAAAATAAACATTACACAATAGGATGGAGAAGGATGGCAATTAACCCACGGGACTGCCGTCTCATGTTTACAGAAAAAAAAAATAAAAAAATAGCCTAGTTGTCGGCTAGAAGGGGGGTTGAGCATTTCAATTGTGAAGAGTGAGAAAAAGGGGAAGGAAAGAAAGAAAGAAAGACATGAAGGAAGGAAGGAAGGAAGGAAGGAAGGAAGGAAGGAAGGAAGGAAGGGGAAGGAAGGAAGAAAAAGAAAAAAACATGAAGGAAGGAAAGAAGGAAGAAAAAGAAAGAAAAAACATGAAGGAAGAAGAAGAAAGAAGAGAAAGGAGAAAGAAAAGGAAGAGAAAGAAAAAGAAGGGAAGAGGAGAGAGGAAGAGGAGAAAGAAGGAAGGGAAGGGGTAGGGAGGAAAGGAAGAAAGAAAGGAGAAGGGAAGGGAAGGGAGGGAAGTGAGAGGGAGAGAGGAAAAGGAAAGAAAAAAGGGAAAGAAGGAAGGAAGGGAAGAGGGAGGGAGAGGAAAATAAAAAAAGAGAAAGAGGGAAGGGAAGAGGGAAAAAGAAGGGGAAAGAGGGAAAGGAATGGGAGGGAGGAACAGGAAAGAAAAAGAAGAGAAAGGGAAAGAAGGAAGAGGAAAGGGAAGTGAAGTGAAGAGGGAGAGAAGGGAAGAAAGGAAGAGAAGGGGAAAGAAAGAAAGGGAGGAAAAAGGAATGAGAAGCAGGAAGTGCACAACCTTCCCATCCCACCCCCAAACTTTTTGTTGTTTTTAATGCCTCTCTCTGTCCCAACTTTGGATCTAAGCTGTGCCAAGAATATTAAGTACCACAACATATTTTGGCAGGAATAAGCGATCAGTTCATCCGTTGTTGTTTTTTGTGTGTGTGGAATTTGTGTCCAAATCCATAAACACCCCGCCTCTACCCACTCACCCTCAATTAAACTCAACAACCCACCCGGAGTTCAAGCCGGAATCAGTTGTGTGAAATGGGCGGGTGGGGGGAAGGGGGAGAAAGAGCTTGAGCTGTATCCGAACTTTAACCCCCAAATTGTGGCTTCGGATTGATGGAAGACACCTCACGCAAGATGTTCCTCTGGAGAGCTCGGACTACCGCGCCCATCGTTCTCACCGCGGCCACCCATTAAGAGGGTGCCTTGGATAGCCCGTGTGGTCGGTTCTGGAGGGCGGAGGCGATGCTGACGTATTTTGAGTCTTTCCTAAAACTCTTTTTCCTCTACCACAGTGGTTCTCAACCTGTGGGTCGGGACCCCATTTGGGGTCGAACGACCATTTCACGGGGGTCGCCAAACAACGCAGTCCGCCATTTTTTTCCCCCCTTTTCCTTAGCTGTGCTACTCCCTTTTATTCTATTGGCTTTTGAAAGCCAATAGAATAGACTGTCTTGAATAGAGTCTAATTCTATTGGCTTTCAAAAGCCAATAGGAATTGTCCAGGCTGTCTCTGCCCTGCTGAGCCCGCCAAAAGTCCCATTCTGCAAACGGTGCTGCACCAGTTGAGTAGTCCTCGACTTACGACCGGTTGAGTAGTCCTCGACTTACAACCGGTTGGGGGTCGCGGCATTAAAAAGGTTGAGGAGCACTGCTCTACCAGCTTTTGTGGAAAACTGGTTGAGGAATCATTTTCTCGGAATTAATCGCACACCGAGCGCACGACTTACCACCGCAATCCAGCCCAAAATGTATGTGGCTAAGTGAAAAATTGGTTAAGTGGATTATTGTCCCGTCATTAAAGCGAAACACTGCAGTTGTTCAATTAGTAACGCGGTTGATAAGCGAATCCGGATTCCCCCCCCCCCCATGGACTCTGCTTGTCAGGTCGCAAAAGAGGAATCGTGTGACTCCGGGGACACTGCAATGGTCGTAAATGCGAGTCAGCTGTCGAACATTTCTGTTGCTAAGAGAGACAGAGGTGAAGTGAATTTTGCCCCATTTTACAGCCCTTCTGGCCACCGTTATTCAGTGAATCACTGCAGTTGTTAAGTGAGTAACACCGTTGTTAAGTGAATCCGGCTTTCCCCATTGACTTTGCTGGTCAGAAAGGGATCACGTGACCCCCCCGGGGCCGCCATAAATGTGAACCGGGTGCAAAACAGCCGAATTTTGATCACGTGACCATGGGGATGCTCCCTTTTTTCAGTCCCATTGTAATTGTGAACGGTCGCTAAACGAACTGTCGTAAGACGAGGACTCACTATTTTTCCCTCCAAAGGAAAAAATAAATCACACTTTATACTACTTTTAAAAAAGAGGGGAAAATCCAGCATTTATTATTTTTCTTTAAAAAAAAAGAAAAGGAAAAGAGGGGGGAAATATCTTTGGTGCTTCTTTTTTTTCATAACAACAAAAAAAAGTTTTTCTTTTTCTTTTTAAAGTAACAAAACAGTCCCAGCCTAACTTAGGCAGAGAAGGGGGGGGCTAAAAGCAAAATAAATCTTTTAAAACTTCCAGCGTTTCGAGTCCATTTCCACCCAGAAATGGTGTGGGGTTTTTTTTATTATTATTGCTAACATTAAAAGGAATAACAGAATGGAAACAGCCTACATTACAAGCTGCATCCATTTGACACACACAAACATATATATATATATATATATCCCTTTGAAAGAACGGGTGTTTATTATTAATAACAAAATAATAACAATAATAAAAGTAGAACAATAAACAATATTAACCCCCCCCACCCACCCACAAACAATTCGATCGTTAAACACAGTTTAATTCCGTTTGAAGACCCCTTGAAAATACTTATATAAATCACCCACCCAGTGCCCTTATTAAAAATGCTCCGGGCAGAAATGTGGAGGATGTAAGGCACCCATTTCCCGGCCTGCAGGATTTTAATATTGTTCTCCTATGCCTATTCTATTTCCCCAACCCCATTAATGTTCTATTTTTAATCCCTTGGTTTATTTATTTATTTATTTTAAAAAAAGGCATTTCTGTATAATAATTAAAATTACATACTTAAAAAAAAAATCAAGACACAGGATCATAAGGCAGTTTGAGGCAGTTCTCTGGTGCAATTCATCTCTCCCGCCCACCCACCCCATTTTTTTTTTTGCAAAACGCTGCTTTCGGTTCATTTTCGCAGAATCGGGAACGGATTTTAAGTCAAGGGTCCCCAAGCTAAGATCTGTGGACTTCTACTCCCAGAATGCCTCAGGCAGCCATGCCGGCTGTGGAATTCTGGGAGTTGAAATCCGTTAAGTCTTAAAGTGGCCAAGGAAGGGACTCGTTTTAAGGGACAACTATAAACATCGGGCCAGTGTCATCCGATGGGGAAGTTAACACTTCCAGAAGCGGCCCTGCCAACATCTGGATTTGGCTGGTCAACCAGTCAGGTGCCCTCCGGGTATTGAAGAACTCCATCCCCAAATTCTTGGCCAAAATAAGAATTGAGTCCTAACTTGGGGTGTCCATGGGAATGATTAAAAAAATAAAATAAAGATGGCAATCAGTGGTGGCCCCCCATCTTGACTTTTTGGACCATCCTGGATCTCAACATCTGGAAGGCACCAGGATGGGACAATTGGTCTGGGCAAACATCTTCTGTAGGCCACATAATCTTGGTCCCTCCCTCTCTCAAACATGCCCCATTTCCCAATATGATCAAGGTACCAATGGTCCACTCCATTATGTCATAAGGAAAGCTCAGTTTACCCCCTTACCACCTGACGGTTAGGCCCTTTATGAGTCTTCGCTGCCCCTTCCCCACAAAAAGTTGGCCTTTGGGACAGGCCCTCCAAGCCTACCATCCCACCCATTTTCCTTCTTGCTGTTTCTGATTGGTAGACCCCCATCCCTGGTCAGCACACGGTTCCTCCTTCCCTTGCCGAATGGAATGAGAAGATCCCTTTCGGAACACCGTCATTCCTTTCCAGCTCTATGATTTCTAGACGTGAGCTCTATAACGCTTCGCCCACCGACAGGCCAAAACCTGCAACTTCCCTACTACCCATCGTGGTTTGGTTCGGCAACGCCGATGAGATGGTTCTCCACCATTTGCCCTTGGAAGGGAGGACCAGCAAGATGGCAACCGGTTTTAGATTGAAATTCCACAAGACGGTCAGGAGAGCTAACATATTTGCGGTATGGACTTCTGCCCAGCAGTTATGCAAGAGGGAAAGGCCATTAAGTGTGTCCTTAATGATAATCCGAGGTCAACGGATGTCATCGTGCAAGAAGGTAGCCATGAGGTTGGCCTGGCCCTAACCCCTGTAGAGTAGCCTCCTCAGCTTTCTGCCTCGTTGGATGAATTAAGGAGTATGCTCCGCACACCCATTTTCCCAGTGGGGTAAGAATGGATAATGGAAACGCCATGAGAGGGAAAGAGAAGCAGAGCGGAAGACAGGAAGGAAAGAAGGAGTAGGTCAACAAGGAAGAGGACCCACATGGTCAAGGAAACCTCTTGGAGAGAGAACGCGGCTGACGGCATGAAGAAGGTGAGATGGACCACAGGTTAGATGGAAAAATGGACCAAGAAGCAGGGGAGAGCGGGGCGCCGGGACAGGATGACTCAAAAGATGGCAGCAAGAGAAACGGACCTGAATTGTGACAGGCAGGTAGACAGGGAGTAAAGCAGTTGAGACCTGTCCTCCTGAGACCTCATCTCAAAGGCCGGTCACACCTTGTCCAGCAGAGACCGCTGGCAATAAAGCAATCGTTTGGGTGTGCCGTAACGCTTGAAGATCAAAATGGCGACTCCGACGGCGCAGATAGTGAGGAGCAGCAAGACGGGAATCACCACCGCGGCGGCGTTGAGCCCGCCTTCCTCGGCATTGTCCACCTCAATGATGATGACTTCTTCTCCCTCGCGTCGGTCGTCGGTCGTGCATCCCATCCAGTCTCGCAACACCGACTTGGGGTACCCCGGCTCTACTTTCAGTTTCTCGTTGTTAAACTTCCAGTAACGGTCACCCTTGTAGAAGTAGGTGAAGGCTATGGAGGGAAAACAAGAACAGACACGGGAGAGTAAGAACGTGGTGGTATGTTAAATGAGAAATAGTGGGGATAGTGTGTGTTTTCCCTTTAAATCAGGGGTGAGGAGACTATGGCCCTTTTATGACTTCTGGACTTCAACTCCCAGAATTCTGGAGCCAGCCATGTTGGTTCAGGAATTCTGGGAGTTGAAGTCCACAAGTCATAAAGGGGGCCCTAGTTCCCCACTCCTGTACTAATCCATCTTGCCGGCTGAGGAATTCTGGGAGTTGAAGTCCACAAGTCATAAAGGGGGCCCTAGTTCCCCACCTCTTCTTTAAATGATCATTTCAGAATTTGTGATGCTCGAAGGAGAATCATGGGAATGAAATACAGGTAGTACTCGACTTATAACTTTTCCTTTAGTGACTGTTTGAAGTTATAATGTCCCTGAATAATGACCATTTTTCACATTTACGACCATTGCAGCATCCCCACAGTGACGTGACCACAATTCAGATTCTTGGCCTGAATAATGACCATTTTTCACATTTACGACCATTGCAGCATCCCCACAGTGACGTGACCACAATTCAGATTCTTGGCAACTGATTCATATTTATGACGGTCACAACGTCCCGGGGTCACATATTCGGACAAACAAAGTCAATGGGGAAGCAATATTCGCTTAACAACCGGGTAATTAACTTAACAACCGGCAGGATTCACTTAACCATTGTTAAGAAAGGTTGTAAAATGAGGCAAAATTTGCTTTACAACTGTCTTGCTTAGACACAGAAATTTTGGGCTCAGCTATGATCGTAAGTCGAGGACTACCTATAAGCAAAATTCAGAACCCAAAATTTAATTTCAGGCATCTTTTTTTAAAAAAAAAAATATGTGGCCAAAATAAATTTGATATTACTGGAAAAAATATTTTTAGACAAAATGAGTTTTTACCAGGCTGAACCGAACTGATTTTTTTTTAAAATGGGAATTCAATTACGCTTTAAAAAAAATCACCCTGCTTGATTCCTGTCAATTATTCTGAACGCTAAAAGTTTGGACACCTCATTTGCATTTCACATAAGAAATCTGCAGAGATATATTTTGGTTGAGTGCAAAAGGAAGAGTGGATCGTCAATGCATATTTTAAGAAATTCTGGTCCTACTTTTAAACAAAGACTTCCAAATTTGGGTGAGAAAGGAAGACTGCTTTTTTCCAAATAAGGAAAATGATTAAGATAAACATAAGTCAGCCCATTTATGAATAATCGTTACTAATAGATGGTGAATTGTTTTATGGAGGCAACACATTAACGCAACGTTGAGAGACACCAGAAATTTTTCATCGTGGTGGAAATGACTGTTAGCCACTCATCTATGATCGGTAAATATAAACTGGAGGCGAATTAAATATGAGCTTGAGGCACTTAAAAGCATCTTCAAAGATGTAGGTGGAACGCTTCTTCGGAAAATGTGAATTTACGGGAAGCCATTGGATTTCATTGCTTTGATTTAAGACCGTTCAAAGGCAAAACTGAATCTAATTTAATTGTATTTGTTGCATTTGGCTAAATCAATTTCAATTTTCTGCTCATTTCTGGAAGAAACCTTCCCCTGTCCCATCACAACAGTTAGAAACCAAATGCAGCCTTGGTTTGGAAGTCGAAATGAACTGGAACGATGGGAAGGAGAACCAGTGGAATTAAAACTATAAAACAGTGGTTCTCAACCTTTCTAATGCCGCGACCCCATAATACAGTTCCCCATGTTGTGGTGACCCCCAACCGCTTATACATCACCGGGTGCCAGGGGCGTGGCCAAAGAAAAGGGGGAAAAATGGCAGACAGCCTTGTTTGGCGACCTCCGTGAAATGGTCGTTCGACCCCAAATGGGGTCCCGACCCACAGGTTGAGAACCACTGCTATAAAAGAAGGAAGCCGAGGCTAAACATCAGAGTTTCCTAATAATATGAGTTGTTAAGACAGCGGAACAGCTTGCCACATGAAATTACTCTTACAAATTACTGTTACAAACTGCTGTTAACAAAAAAGGATATATTACGTGTGTATGTGTGTAATGTTTGTTGTGTTTTGTTTTGTTTTGTTGGTCTAAAATAAAAAAAAAACTGATACTGAATGTGGCAGCGAAACTGCACCAACCAAGGATTTCAACTAGATGATAATAATAACAACAACAATAATAATAATAATAAAAAGTTGGAAGGGACCTTGGAGGTCATCTAGTCCAACCCCCTGCTCAGGCAGGAAACCCTATACCATTTCGGACAAATGGCTGTCCAGTCTCTTCTTAAAAACTTCCAGTGTTGGAGCATTCACCGCTTCTGGAGGCAAGGAGTTCCACTGGTTAATTGTTCTCACTGTCAGGAAGTTTCTCCTTAGTTCTAGGTTGCTTCTCTCCTTGATCAGTTTCCACCCGTTGCTTCTTGTCCTGCCTTCAGGCGCTTTGGAAAATAGCTTGACTTCCTCTTCTTTGGGGCAGCCCCTGAGATATTGGAACACTGCTATCATGCCCCCCCCCCTCGTCCTTCTCTTCGTTAAACTAGACATACCAAATTCCAAAGAGATCAACCCCGACTGCTCTTTAGAAGGCCAGATCCTGAAGTTGAAACTCAAGTACTTTGGCTACCTAATGAGAAGGAAGGACTCACTGGAGAAGAGCCTAATGCTGGGAAAGATTGAGGGCAATAGAAGAATGGGACGACAGCGTGGTTGTGAAAGAGCCAAGATGGCCTAGCCCTGTCCTAGCTCTAATCAGCTCCTTATTCCTCTGTCTGAGCCAGCATGAGGGAAACTTTGGCCCCTTCATGACTCGTGGACTTCAACTCCCAGAATTCCTGAGCCAGCATGAGGGAAACTTTGGCCCCTTCATGACTCGTGGACTTCAACTCCCAGAATTCCTGAGCCAGCCTGGCTCAGTTTGGAAACCTCTACCTTTCCCCTCAGCATGGCTGGCTCAGGAATTCTGGGAGTTGAAGTCCACGAGTCGTAAAAGAGCCAAGGTGACCTACCCCTGGCATAGATAAACCTCCAACAGGCCTCAATGACTCTGAGAGAGAGTACTAATGACCAGATGACTGCAAAGGAATATAAATCCTTCCGATCTCCACCATTCTGTCAGAACTGAAGAAGCTTCTTGGATGAGAAGCAAAATGTTTTCAAGGGAAAACAAACAGTCCAGTCGCCTTTGGAAAAAGCACCTTTGGGAGCCTCTTATCGCCCACCCAACATGGTGGATGGGGATTTTTTTACTCTCAGCAGTAGGGGGCCTTGATGCACAAAACAGTAGATAGTGGGAACGCTACTGATGGTAGAAAAGCAGTTTCTTTTCAGCTGTCTTGCTAAGGCAGTGGTTCTCAACCTGTGGGTCGGGACCCCATTTGGGGTCGAACGACCATTTCGCGGGGGTTGCCAAACAACGCAGTCCGCCATTTTTTTCCCCTTTTCCTTAGCTGTGCTACTCCCTTTTATTCTATTGGCTTTTGAAAGCCAATGGAATACACTCTCTTGAATAGAGTCTAATTCTATTGGCTTTCAAAAGCCAATAGGAATTGTCCAGGCTGTCTCTGCCCTGCTGAGCCCGCCCAAAGTCCCATTCTGCAAACGGTGCTGCACCAGTTGAGTAGTCCTCGACTTACGATCGGTTGAGTAGTCCTTGACTTACGACCGGTTGGGGGTCACAGCATTAAAAAGGTTGAGAACCACTGTGCTAAGGGATCTTAATTCTTTTTTTTTTCTTTTTTTTTGAATCTCACCTTCATCGTTGCCCATAAATGCACCCCGGACGGAATCAGGAATCCCCCCCCAGACATCAATGTTCTTGGGGTAATCTGCATCAACCGATCGGGTCTCCTCATTGAAGCGATAGTACCTGCACGGCGAAAAGGGAATGATGAGATCCCTTGCAGAGAGGAAGGGTCGAACGAAAAAGAGGCTGATTCAAGGGAGGGTGGACTAGAAGACCTCGTGGGGCCTTCCAACTCTATGATTCTGTGAAGGGCGCAGTGGTTAGAATGCGGTACTGCAAGCTAACTCAATGCTCACTAAAGGGGTTTGTTTCTCACGGGGTCAAGGTTGACTCAGCATTCCATCCTTCCGAGGTCGGTAAAATGAGGACCCAGATTGTGGGGGGGGGGAAAATAGGCTGACTCTGTAAACCGCTTAGAGAGGGCTGTAAAGCACTGTGAAGCGGTGTATAAGTCTATTGCTACTGCCATTCCTTCCTTCCCTCTTTCCTTTTCATTTCCTTCCTTCCTTCCCTCTCAGTGGTTACAATGTAATATTGCAGGCAAACTCTGCCCATTGCCAGCAGTTTGATTCTGACCAGCTCAAGGTGGACTTAGCCTTTCATCCTTCCAAGGTCAGTAAAATGAGGACCCAGATTGTTATGGGCAATAGGCTGACTCTGTAAACATGCTTAGAGAGGGCTGTAAAGCACTGTGAAGTGGTATATAAGTCTATTGCTACTGCCCTTCCTTTCTTCCCTCCTAGTGGTTAGAATGCAGTATTGCAGGCTAATTCTGCCAACTGCCAGGAGTTTGATTCTCACCGGTCAAGGTTGACTCAGCCTTCCATCCTTCTGAGGTCAATAAAATGAGGACCTAGATTGTTGGGGGACGATATGCCGATTCTGTAAACCGCTTAGAGAGGGCTGTAAAAACCCTGTGAAGTGGTATATAAATCCATTGCTACTACCCTTCCTTCCTTCCTTCCTTCCTTCCTTCCTTCCTTCCTTCCTCCCTCCCTCCTTCCTTATTTCCTTTCTTCCCTCCCAGTGGTTAGAATGCAAACCTGAAAGCTAATTCTGCCAACTGCCAGGAGTTCGATCCTGACCAGCTCAAGGTTGAACTCAGCCTTCCATCCTTCTGAGGTCAATAAAATGAAGACCTAGATTGTTGGGGGACGATATACCGATTCTGTAAACCGCTTAGAGAGGGCTGTAAAAACCCTGTGAAGTGGTATATAAATCCATTGCTACTACCCTTCCTTCCTTCCTTCCTTCCTCCCTCCCTCCCTCTCTCCCTCTTTCCTTCCTTCCTTCTTTCCTTCCTTCCCCTCCCAGTGGTTAGAATGCAGTATTGCAGTCTAATTCTGCCAACTGCCAGGAGTTCGATCCTGACCGGCTCAAGGTTGAACTCAGCCTTCCATCCTTCTGAGGTCAATAAAATGAAGACCTAGATTGTTGGGGGACGATATGCCGATTCTGTAAACCGCTTAGAGAGGGCTGTAAAAACCCTGTGAAGTGGTATATAAATCCATTGCTATACCCTCCCTCCCTCCCTCCCTCCTTCCTTCCTTCCTTCCTTCCTTCCTTCCTTCCTTCCTTCCTTCCTTCCTTCCTTCCTTCCTTCTTTCCTTCCTTCCCTCCCAGTGGTTAGAATGCAGTATTGCAGTCTAATTCTGCCAACTGCCAGGAGTTCGATCCTGACCGGCTCAAGATTGAACTCAGCCTTCCATCCTTCTGAGGTCAATAGAATGAAGACCTAAATTGTTGGGGGACAATATGCCGATTCTGTAAACCGCTCCGTGAGGGCTTCAAAGCACTAGGAAGTGGTATATAAGTCCAAGTGCTCTTGCTATTGCTGTGGGACTGTGTGGGAAATTGACCCACGCTTCACAAAAAATCTTCAAGAAAACTGCAGCGTCAACCCTTCAATCTTTTGCGACCTGACAAGCACAGTCGATGCGGAACTTAACAACTGCAGGGATTCAAGAAAGGGCGTAAAATGAGGCAAAAGTTACCTCACAACTTTCTCACTTAGCAACGGGCCCAAATCAAGGACGGCCTGTACTACTACACTGGGATAACCCTTTTTCCCAGCTAAACAGAAGCAAAGATTGTAAATATTTTGCCAACTCACTTATTTCCCCGGAAAAAGTATGTTTTTCCACTCGGCATCCAGAAAAGGGCGGCATCAATCCGGTCCGTGGGGAGCCTCCTTCCTAACTCCTTGATATGTTTGGGGTATCCCGGTTCCAAGTTGGCTTCGTTGAACACCCAATGTTTGTCTCCTGCAAGGAAAAAAAGGCCAATCAGTCATGCTACTTACCTCTGCTCTTTTTTTTTTTTTAATACACCCAAAGCAGTTGGGCATGTCTAGTCTAGTCAAAAGAAGGACTAGGGGTGACATGATAGCAGGATTTCAGCATTTGAGGGGCTGCCCCAAAGAAGAGGGGGTCAAGCTATTCTCCGAAGCGCCTGAAGGCAGGACAAGAAGCCACGGATGGAAACCACTCAAGGAGAGAAGCAACCTGGAACTAAGGAGAAACTTCCTAACAGTGAGAACAATTAACCAGTGGAACGACTTGCCTCCAGAAGTTGTGGATGCTCCATGACTGGAGGTTTTTAAGAAAAAATTGGACAGCCACTTGTCTGAAATGGAACAGGGTCTCCTGCTTGAGGGGGTTAGACTAGAAGATCTTCAAGGTCCCTTCCAACTCTGTTTTCTGTTAGTCTAACAAAGAGAAGGACGAGGGGGGACATGATAGCAGTATTCCAGTATCTGAGGGGCTGCCATAAAGAAGAGGGAGTCAAGCTATTCTCCAAAGCACCAGAGGGCAGGACGAGAAACAATGGATGGAAACCGATCAAAGAGAGAAGCAACCTGGAATTAAGGAGAAACTTCCAAACACGACAATTAACCAGTGGAACAGCTTGCCTCCAGAAATTGTAGGCGCTCCATCACTGGAGGATTTTAAGAAGAGATTGGACAGCCATTTGTCTGGAATGGTATAAAGTCTCCTGTTTCATCAGGGGACTGGACTAGAAGACCTCCAAGGTCCCTCCCAACTCTGTTGTTCTGTTATGTTCTGTTAACCCTCTGATTCCTTATCGCAGTGGTTCTCAACCTTTTTAATGCCGCGACCCCCAACCGATCGTAAGTCGAGGACTACACAACTGGTCGTAAGTCGAGGACTACTCAACTGGTGCAGCACCGTTTGCAGAACGGGACTTTTGGCGGGCTCAGCAGGGCAGAGACAGCCTGGACAATTCCTATTGGCTTTTGAAAGCCAATAGAATTAGACTCTATTCAAGAGAGTCTATTCGATTGGCTTTCAAAAGCCAATAGAATCAAAGGGAAGAGCACAGCTAAGGAAAAGGGGAGAAAAATGGCGGACTGCGTTGTTTGGCGACCCCCATGAAATGGTCGTTTGACCCCAAATGGGGTCCCGACCCACAGGTTGAGAACCACTGCTTTAACGTCAGATGGAAAAATGAATAACTGAAGCCCCGCGGTATATGTAATGCATGTGGCTTCATTTTTTTCACTGAAATGGACCAACTAAACCACAAAGTAAACTTGGTCTCCCTGTACATGGAGTCCTCAACTTACAGCAGTTCATTTAGTGGTCGTTCAAAGTTATGACGACACTGAAAAAAGTGACTGTTTTTTACACTTTTACAACCGTTGCGTGACATGATCAAAATTCAACTGCTTCGCAACTGACTCATATTTATGACGGTCGCAGAGTCCCCGGGGGTGTCACGTGATTCCCCTTTTGAGTCAAAGTCAACGGGGGAAGCCAGATTCACTTAACGGGGGAAGCCAGATTCACTTAACAACTGCAGTGATTCACTTAATAGCTGAGGGAAGAAAGGTCGTAAAACAGGGCAAAACACATTTAACAACCGTCTCGCTTAGCAGCAAAAATTTCAGGGCTCAATTGTGGCCCTATACAGGGCTGCCTGTGTATTTTGCCAAGGATTTAGGATTGATGGGCAGCTCACAAGGTCACCTTTAAGGCTCAGTTTGCAAAAAAAAAAAACAGGAGACCACGTAGAGAAGGAGAAAGGATGTAAATTTGTTTTTTAACACTCTTATCATTCTGCAGATGATACCACTCTAATGGTAGAAAGTGAAGAGGAACTAAAGAGCCTCTTGATGCGGGTGAAGAAGGAGAGTGCAAAAGTTGGCTTGAAACTCAACATTAAGAAAACCAAAATCATGGCATCCGGCCCTCTCAATTCCTGGCAAATAGATGGGGAAGAAATGGAGGTAGTGACAGATTTTATTTTTCTGGGCTCCAAGATCACCTCAGATGGGGACTGCAGCCAAGAAATTAAAAGACGCTTGCTCCTGGGGAGGAAAGCTATGGCAAATCTAGACAGCATACTAAAAAGCAGAGACATCACCCTGCCAACAAAAGTGCGTATAGTCCAGGCCATGGTTTTCCCAGTTGCAATGTATGGCTGTGAAAGTTGGACCATAAGAAAGGCTGAGCGCCAAAGAATGGAGGCCTTTGAACTATGGTGCTGGAGAAGACTCCTGCGAGTCCCTTGGACTGCAAGGCGTTCAAACCGGTCAGTCCTAGAAGAGATCAACCCCGACTGCTCTTTAGAAGGCCAGATCCTGAAGTTGAAACTCAAATACTTTGGCCACCTAATGAGAAGGAAGGACTCACTGGAGAAGGGCCTAATGCTGGGAAAGATGGAGGGCAAGAGAAGAAGGAGACGACAGAGAATGAGATGGCTGGATGGAGTCACTGAAGCAGTAGGTGTGAACTTAATGGACTCCAGAAGATGGTAGAGGATAGGAAGACCTGGAGGAACGTTGTCCATGGGGTCGCGATGGGTCGGACACGACTTCGCAATTAACAACAACAACAACAACATCATTCTGCTAGTCCTTCTTGGTCAACCGGGACGCCCTCCAGACACAAAAATATAATCCACTAACCTTTGAAAAAGACAAATTTCCCGTCTTTCCTCTCGTAGGCTGTGTTGATTGAGGAAGGAAGGCCAACCCAGAATTGGCCGATAGGGAGAGGATATCCATCTATTACACGGTTGTTGCGTACTCGCCAAAACCATTTATCCTGGAAAAAAAAAAAACCACAAAACTTTACGTCGGTATCTCTTTCTTTCATTTCAACCGTCAAATTGTGCAAATGAAGAGAAACGTCGGCAGTGGGGTTTTTCCTCAGGATATTCAACTCTAAGTGCCTTCGTGTCCAAAATTGTTAAAACACAGATGGCATAGATCTGTGGCGATACGTAAGCCAACCTGGGTTGAGTTTGTAATGGTAGAGGAAGGTCAGTTTGGTCTAACGGTTAAGGCACCAGGCTAGAAAGCAGGAGATGGTGAGTTTTAGTTGCTCCATAGGCATGAATGTCAGCTGGGTGATTTTGGGCCAATCACTGGGAGACAGTGAGTTCTAGTCTTGCCTTAGGCACGAACGCCGATGAGTGACTTTGGGCCAATCACCGGGAGACAGTGAGTTCTAGTCTTGCCTTAGGCACGAACGCCGACTAAGTGACTTTGGGCCAATCACTGGGAGACAGAGAGCTATAGTCTTGCCTTAGGCAGGAACACCAACTGGGTGGATGTGGGCCAATCACCAGGAGTTGGGGAGTTCTAGTCCCATTTTAGGCATGGAAGCCCGTGTGGTTTTCCTTGGGAAATTCAACTCTGACCTTCATATCCAAAATCATTAAATATAAACAGCATAGAACAGGGATAGGTGGTTGATTGTCACACAGTGACCCAATGACATGCGGCCATCATTGCGGGCTCAGTGACGGCCGTAAATCAAGGACTATCTATAATCCAGATGAGGTTGAAGCAACCTTTTCTAATATGAGAAATATGGGGTACTACTGTGTTTCCTCGAAAATAAGACCGGGTCTTATTTTCAGGGTAGGCCTTACCTCACCTCCGGCACCGACAACCCCACCCAGCCGGTCCACTTCTTCTGGGGCCAAAGTTCTGCAGCTGCATTCGGGCCTGTATTTTGCGGTCAGACCTTTCCAGAAGGCCTAAGCAGCCAAGTACCGAGCTATGGATTCAATCTATAGCTTGGTGCTCGGCTGCAGATCTCTTACAGAACCGAGCTACGGATTGAACCCGTAGCTCGGTTCTTGGCTGCACAGGCCTTCCGGGAAGCTCCGTGACTGAGAAATGCGGACCTGGCTGCAGAAGATGCCTCAGAAGAAGTGGGCCAGCAAGGAGAGGCCTGGCTGCAAGCTGGTGCGGGGTGGGTGGGCCAGCTCCACCCCCGCCCTAGCTTGATTTTTAGGTGTGTGCCTCACCCCAAAATCGGGGTAGGGCTTATATTAGACCCACCCCCCAAAATCAAGCTAGGGCTTATTGTTGGTGTAGGCCAGGGGTAGGCAACCTTGGCTCTTTTATGACTCGTGGACTTCAACTCCCAGAATTCCTGAGCTAGCCATACTGGCTCAGGAATTCTGGAAGTTGAAGTCCACGAGTCATAAAAGAGCAAGGTTGTCTACCCCTGATGTAGGCCTTACTTTCGGGTAGCAATCCATCAGTGGCTAATTACATGGAAATATGTGCTAGGTCACTTGCAAAATATACCATCGACGATGGTATCCTTCTGCGTTGTTTCAGAAAGGTGGGGGTGGGCGGCACCGTATTGCGGTGGTTCTCCTCCTACCTCTCTGACAGGTCGCAGTCGGTGTTGGCGGGCGGACAGAGATCGACCCCTAGGCGCCTCGATCATGGGGTGCCTCAGGGCTCGGTCCTGTCCCCCCTCCTTTTTAACATCTACATGAAACCGCTGGGTGAGATCATTCGGTGAAACGGGGTGAGGTATCATCCGTACGCGGATGATACCCAGTTATATATCTCCACCCCTTGTCCTTTCAGTGAAGCAGTCGACGTGATGTGCCGGTGCCTGGAAGATGTGAGGGTCTGGATGGGGGTGAACAGGCTTAGACTCAACCCTGACAAGACCGAGTGGCTCTGGGTCTTGCCTCCCAAAGGCCAACTGGATGGTCCATCATTAGTCCTGGGGGGGGGCAAATTTACCTCCCTCAGTGCAGGCACGCAACTTGGGTGTCCTCCTGGACTCACAGCTAAATTTGGAACAACATCTATCGGCTGTGGCCAGGGGGACCTTTGCACAGGTTCGCCTAGTGCACCATTTGCGGCCTTATTTGGACCGGGAGGCTTTACTCACAGTCACTCATGCCCTTGTCACCTCAAGACTGGATTACTGTAACGCGCTCTACATGGGGCTACCCTTGAAGGGCGTTCGGAGACTGCAGTTGGTTCAGAACGCAGCCGCGAGAGCGATTGTGGGCGCGCCAAGGTACGCCCATGTGTCACCTATCCTCCGCGAGCTGCACTGGCTTCCTGTGGGTCTCCGGACGCAATTCAAGGTGTTGGTTATCACCTTCAAAGCCTTCATGGCATAGGGCCAGGTTACTTACAGGACCGCATTCTGCCGCACAGCTCCCAGAGACCGGTGAGGTCCCATAGATTGGGCCTCCTTCAGGTCCCGTCGGCCAGACAATGTCGGCTGGCGGGCCCTCGGGGAAGGGCCTTTTCTGTGGTGGCTCCGACCTGGTGGAATCAACTTCCCCCCGAGGTTCGAACTACTCCCACCCTGCCGGCCTTTAAGAAAGCCGTTAAAACTCTCCTGGTCCGGCAGGCCTGGGGCTGATGTCCCCGGGGGGAGCCGGGATATGATCGGACTCGCGGTATGACTGTATTATTTTATTGTTTTATGATTGTTTTAATTCTGTACGCCGCCCTGAGTCCTTTGGGACTGGGCGGCATATAAATATAAATAAATAAATAAATAAATATACTTTCCCCCCCAAAAATGGCGGGAATTCAGGTTGCAGAATTCTGCACCCCGCGGAATGACAGAAAGGGTCCAAAATCAAAAACGTGCGTCTCCCACCCACTCGACACCCTTCTTCCTCTCTAGCTTGGCAATGCTAGATGCCTTCAAACAGCTCACCTTAAAGACGAACATCTCGCCCCGGAGTACCGCAATGGTGTCAAACCGTCCGTCGCAGATGTTGGGGCCGTAGGTCGGGTTCTTGGGGGGCCGAGGGTTTCGGGGTTTCGGAGTGGTGCGAGGGATCGGGGGAGGCTTGGAGGGATGGCCAACTTCAGTTCCTGAAGAGAAGGAAGGAAAGGGTTGGTCCGAAGCTTAACCTGAATTCTAAAAAACTAAGATGGCCGATGGGCTGGAACAGGGTAGACAACCTTGGCTCTTTTATGATTCGTGGACTTCAACTCCCAGAATTCCTGAGCCAGCATGAGGGAAACTTTGGCCCCTGCATGACTCATGGACTTCAACTCCCAGAATTCCTGAGCCAGCATGAGGGAAACTTTGGCCCCTTCATGACTCGTGGACTTCAACTCCCAGAATTCCTGAGCCAGCATGAGGGAAACTTTGGCCCCTTCATGACTCGTGGACTTCAATTCCCAGAATTCCTGAGCCAGCATGAGGGAAACTATGGCCCCTTCATGACTCGTGGACTTCAACTCCCAGAATTCCTGAGCCAGCATGAGGGAAACTTTGGCCCCTTCATGACTCGTGGACTTCAACTCCCAGAATTCCTGAGCCAGCACGAGTCATAAAAGAGCCAAAGTTGCCTACCCCTGGGCTAGAAGCTTCTCTAACTGGTTGTCCTCCCTATGGAGAAGAGAGAAAAGTCTATGGAGGATCTAGTGAAGGTTTGATGGCAAGCTAGTCTCAGATCTATTTCCTTCTTCCCCACCCCCCCCCCCTATTTCATATCTTTGATTTCTTTATTTTTTTTATCCTAAGGTCTGCTTACCTCCAAAAGAATACCACGATGGGCACGTGTGTATGAAACTATTCCTGACCAACTGGATGATCTTTTTTTTTATTCACACCTGGCAACAGGTAAAGTACACATAATGTCTAACAGAGCGTCTAGCCAGCCCAGTGCCAGGTAATACAAGTTTTTTTTCCCCAGCCTGAGCAAAGCAAGGAGAAAAAAAAGAACCCAGCGTTGTCATCATGAATGGTGGAAGTAGACCAGCAATTGTGGCCACAAGTTTCTTGAAGTTAATCCAGGTGGGAGCACGTGCCTCCCACCTGGATTAGATTTAATGGTCTCCATACGTGTTACTGTTGGAAATGTCAAAGAAACAGTCTCAAAGGTGCTTTTTTAGGAGACAACTGGACTTCCTGGTTTTTCCTTTGAAGACATTTCACTTCTCATCCATGAAGCTTCTTCAGCTCTGACTGAATGGTGGAGGATGGAAGGATTTATACTCCTTGCAGACAGCTGGTCATTTGCCTTCTTTTAGAGAGCCGTTGAGGCCACCTGGATGCCACCTCTATGTCAAAACTGAACAACCCTCTTTCAACAAAGGGGGGGGATACACATCACCTATCTCCAGTCTACAACACACTCCTTTCAGCAGTTCCAAGAAGGCCCCACACCCATTTACACAACTCAGGTGACCCTGAGGACACAGACAAACCTCCAAGCGGCCTCAACGGCTCCCTAAAAGAATGCAACTGACCAGCTGTCTGCAAGGAGTATAAATCCTCCCATTCTCCACCCTCCAGTCAGAGTTGAAGAAGCTTCTTGGATGTGAAGCGAAACGTCTTCAAAGGAAAAACAAGAACGTCCAGTTGCCTCGGGAAAAAGCACCTTTGGGACGACCAGGACCTGGATGACGGAGAATCTCCATAGACGTGAAAAAAAAGAAAAATGAAATCTGATGGAGGAATCAGGAGATCACTGCGGGATTGCAAAAGTCGTACCGTAGAGTTGTTGTATGCCACGCCGGTCATCTTCTGGCAGTTCAAAGTTCTCCGTGTCCATCCACTGGTAGAAAGGAGCCATGATGGCGGAAGGGTCATTTGAATGCTCTAACCCCAGGGCGTGACCCAACTCATGGATGGCGACCAGGAAAATGTCATTTCCTGAAAGGCAGAAGGTAGGAAATGAACCCAGGGCCAGGGACGCTGACGAAAACCCTACCTCATCCTTCAGCTGTGGCAACTTCCCTCAACCTGGAGGAGCGGTGGAAGAGAGCGAGATTGCTTCACAGCAGGAAATCAGGACAACGCAGCTCAACCAAACTTTGGGGACGTGAAGGATGAGACCTCTTCTTGGGACTTCCCCAGGGTTCTGACCCCAAAGCTCAGACAGGGTGGGGAAAAGGGGAACTAAGAACGTCACCGAGGAAGTCTAGAGAAGTGGAAAAGAGAAGCTACGTTCTGCTGGGTCCCGAGCGAGTGAGTAGCGGAGACGGGATTAACCACGGATGGATCACCATCTGTGAGTCATCTGCATAATCTCTCTGGCTTCCAGGTTCCTCCAAGGGAGAAACCCATCTAGAAAAGAGAGTAGAGCTGGAAGGGACCTCGGAGGTCTCCTAGTCCAGCCCCCTACTCAAGCAGTATACCATTTCAGACAAGTGGTTGTTCAGTCTCTTCTTAAAAACTTCCAATGATGAAGCACCTACAACTTCCAGAGGCAAGTTAATTGTCCTCACTGTTAGGAAGTTTCTCCTTAATTCTCTCCTTGGTTAGTTCCCATCCATTGCTTCTTGGCCTGCCTTCTGGTGCTTTGGAAAATAAATCGACCCCCTCCTTCTTGTGGCAGCCCCTCAAATACTGCTGAGCCGAGGTGGCGCAGCAGTTAGAGTGCAGTACTGCAGGCCACTTTAGCTGTGTTCAGCAGGTCAGCGGTTCAAATCTCACCGGCTCAAGGTTGACTCAGCCTTCCATCCTTCCGGGGTGTGTGTGTGTGTGTGTGTATGTATGTATGTATGTATGTATATATATATATATATATATATATATATATATATATATATACACACACATTGCTTACTGGTGTACACCGCTTAGAGAGTGCGGTATATAAGTCTCAGAAAGAAAGAAAGAAAGAAAGAAAGAAAGAAAGAAAGAAAGAAAGACTGCTATCATGTCTCTCACTAGTCCTTCTTTTCTCCAGCCATTCTCAAATTCTGCCACCATTCTTCATAAGTTTTAGTCTCCGGGCCTTTGATCATCTTAGCTGCTCTTCTCTGCACTTTTTCCTAAAGTCTCAGCATCGGTTTTGTAATACGAGGACCAAAGCTGGATGCAGGATTCCCGGTGTGGCCTTACTAAAGGCTTTATAAAACGGTACTAATACTTCCCGTGAAGTATTAGGACTTCTTAACATCCTCCTCAAGACTGCCCCCCCAATTCCGCCCTCACCGCTGAGGTCATCGTTCCGAGAGGTCCAAGGCTCGGCCGCGTCGAAGTGAGTATCGCCACCGATGTGGGGCCCCGGGAAGTAGGCGTGGGCCAGGAAGCCACCTTCGCCGTCGAACGGGGTGCTATCTCCGTGGAAGCCATCGGCGAAGAAGATCATGATGTCTGCCTGCGTTTCGCGGCCCTCCCGCACGGCCGTGTAAGGCACCTCGCGGAAACGCAACGGCGTGACCGACTGCCAGACACGGAAGGCCCGTCGGATAGCGGCAAAGGTGGCTTGTTCGCCAACTTTGGGTGTGTAGTTCTGGATGCTGCAACAGAGGCAAAAAATGAGGTCCTGGAGCCATGGCTGAGTCTTACATCCCTCACCAGGATCTACAAACTGGGTTTCCTCCACACAACAGCCGTTTTGTTTCTTTAATGGAAAGACAACTTGTCTACTGCCAGGACCCTTCATAACACACAACATTGTGTCCTCCACCCTAATGTGATCTATCTATCTCGGGACTTCAGCAGCCAGAATTCCCGACTAGTATTCCATAAATTCATAGAAAGGAAGGGTGGAAGGGGCTTTAGATATCATCTAGTCTAGTCTAAACCCCTGCTCAGGATAGAAATTCATGTTTTTGAGGTTGTAGTTATACCACAGCTGAAGAACCTCAGGTTAGCAAAGCTACTGAGATAGGTTTGTTAGATTAATCGACTCACTTTTTGCCCCTAGCCTCAATTTTTCACACTCCCCCCAATGATAGATCAAGGTCTCCCTCCATTCTCAGTCTTATTAATTGATACTCCATCTTCTTTTGATATCTTTTATCCGCTTTTAACATCTCCAGAAGTTAATGAGGAAGATACAAGAAATCTTACAGGAAAACTGAGAATCTGGACTTGTAAGATCTAGTGCAGTGTTTCAGTTTAAGATGGGTGGACTTCAACTCCCAGAATTCCTCAGCCAGGAAGTCCAACCTCGGCAACTTTAAGATGGGTGGACTTCAACTCCCAGAATTCTCCAGCCAGGAAATTCAGCCTTGGCAACTTTAAGATGGGTGGACTTCAACTCCCAGAATTCTCCAGCCAGGAAATTCAGCCTTGGCAATTTTAAGATGGGTGGACTTCAACTCCTACAATTTCCCAGCCAGGAAATTCAGCCTTGGTGACTTTAAGATGGGTGGACTTCAACTCCCTCAATTCCCTAGCCAACAAGAAACACTGATTGTTTTCTTTTTTAAAAGGCTTCTAGTCCTCATGTTTGTCCCAAAATATGTTAAAAGCCACTCTGGTGTTTAGGACAGGAAAGAACTGAAATCTACGGAGCGATGAGATTTCAAATTAACTCTCATTCCCTGCCCTGTTCTCTAGCTTCTTTTTCTCTTTGCCTTTTATCCGGACTTTAACAAAAATAACAACAACTTCCATCGTACCAGAAGCTAAGATCCATTTGCTGCCACTTGAAACCCTGGATCGCGTAGCGCCTGCGCCTCACGTTAGCTTTAATTTCTGCTCCAAATTTATCTGGGACACCACAGCGAGGCCTCTTCATAGCCCTGGAAGAAGAAATGCACAGAAAATTAGAAGTTCGCAGGAAGTGGATTCTTGGCTCTTTTGCACCCTTCAGAGAACTTTCAGATCACAACTGCTGAAAAGTAATTTATTTCCCCACTTAAAGGGGGCAGAAATTGTGGCCGTCCCCTCCCCTTCAGAAGGGGGCAAATGGCAGTACTTAGACAACCTGGGCTGAGTTCGTGAAGGCAAGGAAGGGCAGTTTGGTCTAGTGGTTAAGGCACCAGACTAGAAAACGGGAGACGGTGAGTTCTAGTCCCACTCTAGGCATGAAAGCCAGCTGGGTGACTGTGGGCCAATGATCAAGAGACTGTGAATTCTAGTCTCACCTTAGACACAAACGCCGGCTGGGTGACTTCAGGCCAATCACCAGGTGACGGTGAGTTCCGGTTCTGCCTTAGGCATGAAAGCTGGCTGAGTGACTTTGGGCCAATCACCAGGAGACGGTGAGTTCTAGTCTCACTTTAGACACAAGTGCCAGCTGGGTGACTTTGGGCCAATCACCAGGAGACGGTGAATTCTAGTGTCTCCTTAGCCACGAAAGCCAGCAGGGTGACTTTGGGCCAATCATCAGGAGATGGTGAGTTCTAGTCTCGCCTTAGACACAAATGCCAGTTGGGTAACTTTGGGCCAATCACCAGGAGATGGTGAGTTCTAGTCTCGCCTTAGACACCAATGCCAGCTGGGTGACTTTGGGCCAATTATCAGGAGATGGTGAATTCTAGTCTCACCTTAGATACAAACGCCGGCTGGGTGACTTCAGGCCAATCACCAGGAGACGGTGAGTTCTAGTCTCGCCTTAGACACCAATGCCAGCTGGGTGACTTTGGGCCAATCACCAGGAGATTGTGAATTCTAGTGTCTCCTTAGCCACGAAAGCCAGCAGGGTGACTTTGGGCCAGTCCCCCTTTCTCAGCCCAACCCATAGGAGGAAAATGAAGTGTTTGGATATGTTTGTGTTACTTGCAAAAATAATAAAGGCGGGATACAGATGAATAAATAAATAAAGAGGGTCCTACCCAGATGGAATTCGGGAAAGCAGCCAGGTAGATACCCCCCAGACTGAAATCCGCTTGGCCAAGTTGAACAAAAACCATCTTGGAAGACTCCTCCCATTATCGGAAGTCAAGGAACACCATCAGAGTCATGATGACTCTCGAACACAAAACGCTGATTAATTCTTAGCTCACCAGAAAGCTTAAGGAAGGCTTAATGGATGCTTTGGCCTAAATTAAGAAGTGGGAAGTACTCTGTATTTGCAGAGGCACAACGAAACCCGAGTTTTAGCTGCACAAATGTGACTGTCTTTCCCTAAGCCAATAATTGAGATGGTGGGCCGTGGAATAGATTTTGGGGGGGGGGAGTCTTTAGTGGAGAGCAGTTTAAGAAAGAAGGAAGGGAGGAGGGAGATGAGAGGAGGAGGGGGAGGAGGAAGAGGAGGAGGAGGAAAAAGAAAGAAAGAAAGAAAGAAAGAAAGAAAGAAAGAAAGAAAGAAAGAAAGAGAAAGAAAGAGAAGGAAGGAAGAAAGAAAGAGAAAAAAAGAAAGAAAGAAAGAAAGGAGAGAGAGAGAAAAAGAAAGAAAGAAAGAAAGAGGAAAAAAGAA